AAGGGTTAATAATTCACTATCACTATTTATGGTTGTTTATGAAAAAATTATGATTTTTCAAAAACAAAAGGTATATCAGCTCATACGATCTAAGAGAAAATTGAAAAGTTTCAATTTCAATTTGGTGCAAGGAGAAGTACGTCATAAGATCGCCCCGATTACGAATTACATAAAAACAAAGACTTTCAGCTGATTTTGCTCWTTTTTTTCTTGATGGTTTTTCTAAACTTATCCGCACTTAGTTTGACGTTGGATTTTGCTTACCAAAACTTCGGCATAAGTAACATACCTGGATATGTAGCTTTCTTCATACAGTGCGAAGAGCTGTAGAAATATTGTCTATGAAAAAACTCAGTGGCAGGTAAAAAATCAAGTAAAGAACCGGTTTTGCTTACTTGTTTATGGTTCCAGAGGCTTCTACGAAGAAGATATTTTTACGCGGAGAATAGAGAAATGCAGAAGAGCCTTTGAAGCCAGGGTGGTACTGTATTTTACCAATAGAAAAAGGTCTCCCAAAAACACTGGATAAAAAACACTTGTTGGCTCTTTTCCTTCAAGAAAAATGTCTTATCAAAGATAAATGCAAAACGCTTGAATGCTCGTTGCTTTTAATATATTCCACATACACTTAGTTCATGCTGTTATTGGTATTTTTATGGCTGAATATCTAACAATGAATCGTTTCACAAAAGCTTAGAGTCGTTCTTTGTGGCTTTTCGTCAGCCGAAAACAAAATAACTGATGCATCATGAAAAACAAATGCGAATCTTTAYCAATAGAATTGGTTACATGTATTTACTGTTATTATTTCTTTATTGTATTTCTAAAACCCAAGTGAAATGAGAAATAAACATCTAATGTCACATGACTATTAAGGAATCATCTGAAACTAAAGCCTCTTTTTCTTGTGAGGTTTGTCTTGACTTGTTGTCCAAGTCAGAGAATGAGGCAGCCATTGTCGGGGCTTTTTGGTCTTTGGAGTGTAGCAATCAGATTGTCCATTTGTTCTCGCTCAAGTTGTATCTTTCTATCTCTACTCTCTAGTGACGATTTCATCATGTCAAACATGTCTTCTATGGTTTTCTGACGAGCCAAGGCAGCTTCTCTGTCTTTTCTTTGCTCTTCAAAGTTTGCCTCCATCATGTTTGCTACCTGTTCGCGCTGGTCTTTCAAGTTCTTCTCAAAAAGCTCTTGCAGTCTGGCTTTCTCTTCTTGTTGCTTTTGACGAAGGACCTCCATCTTTGAAAAAGTATTCATTATAAATTAACACTGTTGATATTCAATATTGGATTTTAAACAGTCTTTCTTAGAGCATTTCCAAAGTAGTCTCCTGTGCAGCTGCTTATAGTCGCGCACAATTTCATTTCTCTCCATACAACCATTTGTGCATAAGAGAAGTTAAAAATATGCAGTCAAAGAATGCATGTGGCTAGTGCCTTATACTTATAGCAGGATTTTTTTAATTAAATGCAGTATTTGTAGCGAAAATTGTTTGGTTTTGTCATTGTAAGCCTTGTCATTGTGGCCTTGTCATTGTGTCTCAATATATATATATTTTTCTTAACAGTTTCGCAAATCCTTAAAAAAACACTTTCTGTAAATTGTGCATATAATTTTCAGCTCTTTTGAACGTTTTAGCTACATTGTAGAGCCATTTAAAAAGAGAAAACTGTTTGCCGCCGTCTGTCCGCCAGTTTTTTTCCAACTCACTAACGATTGGAGAACCGAGTGGAAATACGAGCTTATCCCGAGAAAAACCGAATGGAATACGATCTATTCCCGAATTACTCAGGGCGATGACTAAGAGGCGCTAGCCACAAAAACCACGCAGCTAAAATCGGCTGCGTTGGAGGCTAGGGCACATTTAGTGCTCCTCCCATGAACTTGTCAATAATAAATAACCAGCATGCACTACGCACCTCTCTTTCTTTGTTTTTCATCTCTTCCTCGAAACGAGCTTTCTCTTCCTGAAAAATACGTTAAAATTATTTATTATTTAATAATTGTTTTAAGAACTTTTAAGTCCTAAGTACAAACGTTTTCGACTAATCAAGTCATCTTCAGGTAAAAGTACGATTTTGTAATAAACCCTTTGGGAATTTAATATTCATCGTGCTTTTTTAAGGATGGATGAAGTCATTTATCAGGAGAGTGCCTAAATCGTTCATCACGTAACTTAAGAGCTGTTCAGCCATGTTGAATAGCATAGTAATAAGTGCGGCGTTTGATTTGGGGACTGGGCACCATTTTTTCTTTTATTTATATGAAATCCTATATTAAAACTGAACTTATTCTGAAATGTCGTCTACTACACTATGCCGGGCTATCACTTGGGAATATCAAAAGTTGACTGACCTCAATTTTCTGTCTCCTTTCCTCTAATGCAGCTTTGGCGGCTTTTTCCTTAGCCAGGGACTCGTCGTAGTCTTTCATCTGTTGCAAGACTTCGATGTTTTGCTCCATTTCCTTTTGAAGTTCCTGCAAAATGTAAAAAAAACCAGCAGATAAGGTCTCTTTATCAACTCAAGTTTGTTCCACTGTAGGGTCGTCCTCATTCTTCCTGGACGTAGTCACTGCAGGGTCGTCCTCAAATTGGCATGATTATTGTGAAACGTTAAAACAAACAATAATCCGGCTTCACTTCTGCAATTCGTTTGTGCTTGACAAGTCAAGCGGAATATTGAAAGTGGGTTATTCATATCTTACCGGATGGAAGTTCATAAACACCGATGCCTGGACATCCTTAGCACCACGAGCGTTGCTCGAATACTTTTACTGGATTTCATTGTAAGCAGCAACAATGTCACCGAACTGCATCTTGGATCCTTCTTGACTACGAAGGCGAGCAAGGACCGGGTCAAGGATGGTTCGCTTGAGTTCTTTGATAAGCTGAGTGCAAAAGGTTTCTGTTTCTATGTTGTTCTTCTCAAGCCACGATGAGAAGGTGAAATTGGTTTTGTCCTATTGTACATGTTGTAATAAACCAAAAGTAAATCTACAATGAGTTCATAAACCTTAAGAGGTAATTGAATTTGTCTTGAATTTGGTTCCCTTCAATACAACAACTAAAACTAAAATTGGAAGGACAAAATGAATGTTTTCTGCACCGTATAAGATTGGTTCCTCTAACAAACCCACTTCCATATGTTGTCGGACCTTTAATGGCGGCTCAAATTTCATCAGTGATCAAAGAGTGTAATAATTTGTGTACGCCCCGTTACCTACCGTCAGTTTTTTTAAGTACTTGTCAACACTTTTGGTAGAAAACGAAAAAGTCTCATCGTGGAACATTTTAAGGCACTTTTCCATGGCGTTGTCATGCGCAGATCGTAACAAATCGGCTTCACAAGGAATTTCCTTCTCGACGAATGACGTCATTTCCTGTTCGTATACCTTCACAGCATCAGCTAAGACCTCGCTGCATTTGGTTTGTACAAATGTGTCCCAGGCGTTTTGTACGTTGGGTACAGCACCAGGKGTRTTGAGTGCMTYTACGAACAGTTGGRTCAGWTWTGCTAACGCTGAAAMGGAATTTTATAAAGAAAAAAGTTTCAAAACACGAAAGACCAGAAACTATTTTTATTGCTAATACATGAAGCAAACTTTATGAAAAATGTACCTTTTAATTTCTTAGTAAAACAGAAACAAAATGTTTTCAACAATCGTTAATATTTTGTGGAAAT